AAGCTTCAGAATTCTTGACTCCAAGGAGCATTCAGGATTCACCCTCTCCAGGACAAACGTGTTTGTTCTCCTAGCAGTCCATGGAATATTCAAAACTCTTCTCCAGCACCACAGCTCAAAGGCATCATCAATTCTCTTTCTATCATCCCTATTCACTGTCCAACTCTCCAAAGCATAGCACGTAATTGCAAAGACTATAGCCTGGATCAGGCGCACCTTAGTCTCCAGTCTGATGTCATTGCACTTCAGTACTCTTGAGAGGTCACTCACAGCTGACTTTCCCAATGCAATTCGTTTCCTGATTTCCTGTGACCCTGTAAATAACAGATCTGAACCTTGACCTATCCTAAGCATCCTTATCATCTCTAACACACTTGACCCCATTGCTGCAGTCACTGTGTCAATTCATCTTGTTGAGGGTCTCCCTCTCTTGCTAAGCATGGTGTCCCTGTCCAAGGAATTGTTGTTGTTGTTGTTGTTGTTGTTAGGTGCCGTCAAGTCAAGTATGATGCATAGTGACCCTATGAACAACAGATCTGAACCCTATCCTATCCTGCTCCTCCTAACAACGTGGGCTGTACTGCCTCTGAAAACCTGATGGAGGATCAGCTATGAGTTGGTTCCAACAACAACCAAACTCCCAAAGTATGTGAGATAAGCTTTGCCATCCTTACCTCCACAAGGAACACTCTGGCTGTACGTTCTCCAAGGCATACCTATTGATTTCTTTGGTGGTGGTGTCTGTTGTATACCGTAGAGTTGGAACCAACCCCTAGCTGATTCTCTGACAGGTTTTCACAGGCAGTTAATGGCACAGGAGGAGATTGCCCATCTGCAATACCATATTCAAAGGCATCAATTGTTCTGCTGCCTCAGTAACTTTTGTTTCATATTGGACTGTATTAACACTTAGCACTTTAAATATTGGTTTAACTACCTGCCTTCCCCCTAACCTGTAAATTCCATCAATCAGATATCAATACTGGGTTGCTTACAGACTATATATGTTCTTGAGAAAATTACGTCTACAACTCAAATCTGATTAAATGGTTAGAAGAGTTAATGTACGTGATTGACATGCATTTTATGTTTAGTAAATGTTGGCTGCTAACTATTATTGTTGTCATTTTTACTTTAGTGTCTGACATATCCTAGGTACTCAAATGTTTGCTGGAGGGCTGGCTGGATAGACAGATGAGTGAACAATACACCTGGCTCAAATAACTATTTGTTTCTTCCCCTAACTGTATCATGCTACCTTGGTCACAAATAAGAGATCATTTAAAACTCACATTATTTAACAGTTCTATTCATTGCCTCCTTTTAAAAATCTATTTTCATAAAACAACATATGAGCAAGAGCCTATGGTGATGAAAGAAGAAGTTCAGGCTACTTTAAAGGACATGGCAAAAAATAAGGCTCCAGAAATAGATGGTATGCCAATTGACATATTTCGGTTAATAGATGCTGCCCTGGATGTGCTCACCAAGTTGTGCCAAGAAATCTGGAGAATGACCACTTGGCCAACTGACTGGAAGAGATCGATA